AGTCTTACCATTTGCAATAGAATGGATGGACCTGGAGAGCATTATGCTAAGCGAAAAAAGCCAGTCATAGAAAGATAAGTATCACATGATTTCACTCATTTGTGGCATATAATGAACAACATAAACTGATGAACAAAAATATATCCAGAGACATAGAAGCATCAAACAGACCATCAAACCTCAGAGGGAAGACAGGTGAGGAGGTAGGGAGGATAAGAGATCAACCAAAGGACTTGTATGCATGCATATAAGCATAATCAATGGACATAGACAATAGGGGGGTGAAGGCCTGTGCTGGGGGACCGGGGCAGGCTGGGAGAGGTCAATGGGGAAAAAGAAGACATATGTAATACTTTCAACAATAAAGAATTTAAGAAAAAAAGACAACCCACTAAATGGAAGTACATATTTGCCAATGATACATCTGGTAAGGGGTAAATATTCAAAATTTATGAAGAACTCAACACCACAAAACAAATAATCCCATTTTTAAAATGGGCAAAAGACCTGAATAAACACTTCTCTAAAGAGGACATACAGATGCCCAATAGAGAGATGAAAAGATGGGCAATGTCAGTACTCATTAGAGAAACAGAAAGTAAAACCACAATGAGATATCACCTCACACCTGTCAGAATGGTTATCCTATATAATAAAAGTGTAATATGCAAACTGACCAAACAGCGAACAGCAGAATGACGATCTGGACAACCATCTGGCACCAGGCCAGCCAAGGAGGGTGCTATGCGATTGGTCAGGGGCCCGGCCATCGCCCCATGATCATCCCACAGAGGGAGGCCCAAGCCCCCGGCCAGTGGGGTGATTAATGGGGAAGGCTCCACGATCGCCCCAAAGAGGGAGGCCCAGGCCACCAACCGGCAGTCTGCAATGTGTGGGCAGGGACTCCGCCTGCAAGGGAAGCCCAGGTCCCAGGTGCCGGCGGCCGGAGGGAAGCCCAAGTGCCATTTCCCTACCAATGGCCAGAGGGAAGCCTGAGTCCGGTGCCAAAGGAAAGCTGGTGTCAGCAACCAAGGGAAGGAAGGCCTACACTTGAATAAACTTTGTGCATCGAGTCTCTAGTCATCAATAAATCAACAAACGACAAGTGTTGGCAAGGATGTGAGGAAAAGAGAACCCTTGTGCACTGTTGGTAGGAATGTAGACTAGTGAAGCCACTGTGGAAAACAGTATGGTTTCCTCAAAAAATTATAAATGGAACTGTCTTACAACCCAGTGATTCCACTTCTGGGAATATATCTAAAGAAACCAAAACACGGAGAGAACCAAGATGGCGGCATAGGTAAACACCGGAGTTTGCTACCTCGAACAACCACTTCAAAAATACAACTAAAAGACGGAAAGGACATCACCCAGAACCACAGGAAAGCTGGCTTAGGGGAAATTCTTCAACTAGAAGGAAAGAGAATAGCATACTGGGACTCAGAGGAGGCGCAGTGCGGAAAATACAAAGGTGCGGAGTTGCACGCGGAGCGGACTGGTGGCTGAGGGCGCGGTTGTCGTTTTCAATCGGGAGGGAGGCTCAGGCTCTGAGCTCCAGTTCTGGGCGAGTCTCTAGGGACCCAGACTCAAACAGGAGAAGCGGGACTGTCTGGCATCGGTTGCAACGCGAGGGCACCTTTCTCTCTGAGGTTTGCAGCAATTGCTGGGACTCTGAGAGGCAGAGCTTCTGGGGACGGGACTGAGAGCAGCCATAACTGCTCCCTCCACCCGCTCTGTTGATCCCGTGCGACCCACCCGCTCCACCCAAG